GTGTGAGATTAATGGTGGTTGGGGATTTCAATGCTAAAGTAGGCAAAAATATTGTGGAGGGAGTAGTAGGTAAATTTGGGGTGCCAGGGGTAAATGAAAATGGGGAGCCTTTAATTGAGCTATGTGTAGAAAGAGGTTTAGTAATAAGTAATACATATTTTATGAAGAAGAGGATAAATATACAAGGTATGATATAGCACGTAATGAAAGTAGTTTGTTAGATTATGTATTGGTGGATAAAAGGTTGATGGGCTGGCTCCAGGATGTACACATTTATAGAGGGGCAACTGACATATCGGATCATTATTTAGTTGTAGGGAGGAGGAAGTTCAATTCAATTCAATTCAATTCAATTCAATTCAAAATTTATTCTCTATAAGGATTACAATGCTGAGTTTACAGAATTTGGTTATTGTGTGGTTTACATGTAGTAAAATAATAATTACAGAGTGTACCACTAGAACACCTAGCATGGCTAGGCATTTCAGGCAGACTTAAATTAAATCTTAAGTTTAAAATATTACAAAATTATGAGGTTAGTTGGTATTATGGCTAAGTGACTAAATACTAATTTGTGAGTTTAACAATGTGAATGCTTTTGTTTTGCCACTATACATAGTTTCAGTATTGGAGTATCACAGGCCAACTTATGACTAGTTAAGATTCATTATTTTGAGATTGAGATTGATATTTCTGTTTATGGTCAAATGGGTGAGTGAGTGTAAGTGTTAACCACCAGGTGGTATTCGTGTAATTAGTTGACAGGGTGTATCAGGGAGATAAGATGTTTTCTGATGGTAGTTTTCAAGGTGATGAATGTGTCTGCAGTTTTAGAATTTTCAGGTAGGGTGTTCCAGATTTTAGGGCCTTTGACATACATTGAATTTTTGTAAAGGTTTAGTCGGACACGGGGAATGTCATAGAGATGTTTGTGTCTGGTGTTGTGCCTGTGGGTTCTGTCGCAACTATCAAGAAAGCGTTTTAGGTCAAGGTTAATATTGGAATTTAAGGTCCTGTAGATGTAGATTGCACAGTAGTAAGTGTGGATGTACTGAACAGGGAGTAAGTTTAGATCTATGAAGAGTGGGGGGGTGTGTTGCCAAGGATGGGATTTAGTGATTATTCGGGTGAGATATAAGCAACTATTGGCAGAAAGGTGGACTGGTGCAAATATGAGCAGTGAGGGGGTTGAAGAGGGTTGGAATAGTTTTAAAAATGCAGTATTAGAATGTGGGGCAGAAGTTTGTGGTTATAGGAGGGTGGGTGCAGGAGGAAAGAGGAGTGATTGGTGGAATGATGAAGTGAAGGGTGTGATAAAAGAGAAAAGGTTAGCTTATGAGAGGTTTTTACAAAGCAGAAGTGTTATAAGAAGAGTAGAGTATATGAAGAGTAAAAGAAAGGTGAAGAGAGTGGTGAGAGAGTGCAAAAGGAGAGCAGATGATAGAGTGGGAGAGGCACTGTCAAGAAATTTTAATGAAAATAAGAAAAAATTTTGGAGTGAGTTAAACAAGTTAAGAAAGCCTAAGGAACAAATGGATTTGTCAGTTAAAAACAGAGTAGGGGAGTTAGTAGATGGTGAGAGGGAGGTTTTGGGTAGATGGCGAGAATATTTTGAGGAACTTTTAAATGTCGACAAAGAAAGGGAGGCGGTAATATCATGCACTGGACAGGGAGGTATACCATCTTTTAGGAGTGAAGAACAGGATGTGAGTGTGGGGGAGGTGCTTGAGGTATTATGTAGAATGAAAGGGGGTAAAGCAGCTGGAACTGATGGGATCATGACAGAAATGTTAAAAACAGGGGGGGATAGAGTGTTGGAGTGGTTGGTATTTTTGTTTAATAAATGTATGAAAGAGGGGAAGGTACCTAGAGATTGGCGGAGAGCATGTATAGTCCCTTTATATAAAGGGAAGGGGGACAAAAGAGATTGTAAAAATTATAGAGGAATAAGTTTACTGAGTATACCAGGAAAAGTGTACGGTACTGTTATTGAAAGAATTAGAGGTAAGACAGAATGTAGGATTGCGGATTAGCAAGGAGGTTTTAGAGTAGGTAGGGGATGTGTAGATCAAGTGTTTACATTGAAGCATATATATGAACAGTATTTAGATAAAGGTAGGGAAGTTTTTATTGCATTTATGGATTTAGAAAAGGCATATGATAGAGTGGATAGGGGAGCAATGTGGCAGATGTTACAAGTATATGGAATAGGTGGTAAGTTACTAAATGCTGTAAAGAGTTTTTATGAGGATAGTGAGGCTCAGGTTAGGGTGTGTAGAAGAGAGGGAGACTACTTCCCGGTAAAAGTTGGTCTTAAACAGGGATGTGTAATGTCACCATGGTTGTTTAATATATTTATAGATGGGGTTGTAAAAGAAGTAAATGCTAGGGTTTTTGGGAGAGGGGTGGGATTAAATTATGTGGAATCAAATACAAAATGGGAATTGCTGATGATACTGTGCTTATGGGAGATTCTAAAGAAAAATTGCAAAGTCTAGTGGACGAGTTTCGGAGTGTGTGTAAAGGTAGAAAGTTGAAAGTGAACATAGAAAAGAGTAAGGTGATGAGGGTACCAAATGATTTAGATAAAGAAAAATTGGACATCAAATTGGGGAGGAGGGGTATGGAAGTAGTGAATGTTTTCAGATACTTGGGAGTTGACGCGTCGGCAGATGGATTTATGAAGGATGAGGTTAATCATAGAATTGATGAGGGAAAAAAGGTGAGTGGTGCATTGAGGTATATGTGGAGACAAAAAACATTATCTATGGAGGCAAAGAAGGGAATGTATGAAAGTATAGTAGTACCAACACTCTTATATGGGTGTGAAGCTTGGGTTGTGAATGCAGCAGCGAGAGGCGGTTGGAGGCAGTGGAGATGTCCTGTCTAAGAGCAATGTGTGGTGTAAATATTATGCAGAAAATTCGGAGTGTGGAAATTAGGAGAAGGTGTGGAGTTAATATAAGTATTAGTCAGAGGGCTGAAGAGGGGTTGTTGAGGTGGTTTGGACATTTAGAGAGAATGGATCAAAGTAGAATGACATGGAGAGCATTTAAATCTGTAGGGGAAGGAAGATGGGGTAGGGGTCGTCCTCGAAAAGGTTGGAAGGGAGGTTTTGTGGGCGAGGGGCTTGGACTTCCAGCAGGCGTACTTGAGCGTGTTCAATAGGAGTGAATGGAGACGAATGGTATTTGGGACCTGACGATCTGTTGGAGTGTGAGCAGGGTAATATTTTGTGAAGGGATTCAGGGAAACCGGTTATTTTTATATAGCCGGACTCCTGGAAATGGGAAGTACAATGCCTGCACTCTAAAGGAGGGGTTTGGGATATTGGCAGTTTAGAGGGATATGTTGTGTGTCTTTATACATATATGCTTCTAAGCTGTTGTGTTTCTGAGCACCTCTGCAAAAACAGTGATTATGTGTGAGTGAGGTGAAAGAGTTGAATGATGATGAAAGTATTTTCTTTTTGGGGATTTTCTTTCTTTTTGGGTCACCCTGCCTCAGTGGGAGACGGCCGACTTGTTAAAAAGAAAAAAAAAAGTATTAGGATTAGTTTGCCCAAAATGCCTCGGCATGATAGTGGCTATCTTTGTACTTAGCAAATCAAAATTGTAATTACATATTGTAACCTTTACAAAGAAATAAACTTTACTTGACTTTACTTTAATATACATTATTTAGGTATGCATACTAGTCAGAGAGCCCATCGTAAGTCTGAGTCGTCGGTAAACAATTATCTCACTAAGTGAGGAGAGACTGTATACAATATTTAAAGCAGCTCAGAGTAATATTATTACCATCGACATATCTTGTTCATTGAGTTTAATCCTTTCTAACAACTACCTTTATATGCCATCATAAATGAAGAGAGAAGTGATGAGAAGAAGTCATGCCGAGAATTGTAAACAAAGCCGAATGCATTAAGGGGAGTCACTTGGTCAAAGGCAGATTGATACACACTTTCTCTGGTGCTGGACCAGAGAAAATGTAATTTTTTCTCTCCATCTTGCTACCACACATCATATTTATGTGAAATTTATTGTACTGTGGGTGTATGTATCATGTTTATATGCTATGTAACATGTTTCTTTTATAATTTTGAAGAAAATATCATAGATGGATTAATGAAAATGTCTAAGTAGTAGGTTGGTAGACAACAGCTGCCCAGGGAGGTATTACCGTCCTGCCAAGTGAGTGTAAAATGGAGGCCTGTAATTGTTTTACATGATGGTAGGATTGCTGGTGTCTTTTTTCTGTCTCATAAATGTGCAAGATTTCAGGTATGTCTTGCTACTTCTACTTACACTCAGGTCACACTACACATGCATGTAGAAGCATATATATATATATACACACCCCTCTGGGTTTTCCTCTATTTTCTTACTAGTTCTTGTTTATTTCCTCTTATCTCCGTGGGGAAGTGGAACAGAATTCATCCTTCATAAGTCATGCGTGTTGTAAGAGGTGACTAAAATGCCAGGAGCAAGGGATAGTAACCCCTTCTCCTGCATACATTACTAAAGTTAAACAGAGAAACTTTTGTTTTTCCTTTTAGGTCACCCCGCCTCGGTGGGATATGGCTGGTTTGATGAAAAAAAAAAAAGTTTTCTCCTCTGGGTCACCCTGCTATGGCTAGTGTGTTAAAAAAAGTTTTAGATTGGAAAGTCGTTTGAGTCATGATGTTGATTCTTCGCTGGAATAAGCTTGAGAATTAGTAATAATGAATATATTTTCTGTGCGTGACCCTGCCTTAATGTAGTTATAATTCTAACCTTAATTTTTATGGGGGTTGATGGGTAAGCCAGTGGAAGGCCTCGGTCAGATGACCTAAAGCTCCAAATCTTACATAACCTAACCTTGCCTTGGTGGAAAACTACTAAATGTGTTAAAAGTGGAATTAAATAAATGAGATAACACATTTATCACAAGTGGAATTAAATAAGTGTGGATAACACATTTATGGTATGTGTTATGATGTGATTATTTTCTCAATGCAGGTTGACGTACGACACAACCTTGGATTTGTGAAGTGTCCGAAGCGCTTTAATGTGGCTGTGACAAGAGCACAAGCACTTTTGGTTGTGGTAGGCAATCCTCTCTTACTCAGCTTAGATAACTCTTGGCACACGCTCATTAAATTTTGTCTTGAGAAAGGTGCTTATCGTGGCCCAGAATTAGACGTCACCGAGGATGATAATGTCTAGCTATGCACAGTAGTTATCCGATACATGAGATCACAGTATACTTAGTCTCACAATACTGAACAATACAAAGTATGTTTATAGCATGTATACATAGTATTCATAGCATGACTATCAATCAGCACCCTTACCGTAATCTCATTCTATAATTATTTGATAAGGAAAAGTAGAGTAAATTTTCTAATTATATTTATATAAAAAGAATATGTAATGAATATTTTGCAAGTACATAAATGCTACAATTCAGTACTTAATTTAAAAAATTAATGTATTTTAATTGTTTTTGTATACTTAGGTGGGTGTAGATTTATAATTTGTATTGTGCAGGTAGCAGTATTGAGGAACAATAAGTAGGTCATCACTTTGATACAGTGTATTGTGCAGTGATTGTCTGTATGGTAAGCATTTTTAATCTCTCTAGGAACTTTTCAAATTTTCCAACATAAAAAATTAATAGAAGCACATTATATTTGAAGTATAATTTAACATGCATTGATCATTCAATCTTGTTCACTGATCAGAAATTAGTTCATAAAAAAGTATAGTTCCTTCAGAAATTATAATTTAGTACATTAACCTGGAGTTTAAGGACTCATTTCCCATAGGTTCGAACTCCATCTCTTCCCTGGTTTTGGATATTGTACTTGAGTGTAATTATCACTTTTAAAGAGGCTTTGCAAAATTGTGGTTCTTAAAATGTCAGATAATAATAAGATGTTTATGTAGAAAAATTTAGTTTATAATATGATTATGAGTAGCATTTGGAGGTGTTAGTCAAGTATGTTGTCCTGACACTGGAGGTGTTAGTCAAGTATGTTGTCCTGACACTGGAGGTGTTAGTCAAGTATCTTGTCCTGACACTGGAGGTGTTAGTCAAGTATGTTGTCCTGACACTGGAGGTGTTAGTCAAGTATCTTGTCCTGACATTGGAGGTGTTAGTCAAGTATCTTGTCCTGACACTGGAGGTGTTAGTCAAGTATGTTGTCCTGACACTGGAGGTGTTAGTCAAGTATGTTGTCCTGACACTGGAGGTGTTAGTCAAGTATCTTGTCCTGACACTGGAGGTGTTAGTCAAGTATGTTGTCCTGACACTGGAGGTGTTAGTCAAGTATGTTGTCCTGACACTGGAGGTGTTAGTCAAGTATCTTGTCCTGACACTGGAGGTGTTAGTCAAGTATCTTGTCCTGACACTGGAGGTGTTAGTCAAGTATCTTGTCCTGACATTGGAGGTGTTAGTCAAGTATCTTGTCCTGACACTGGAGGTGTTAGTCAAGTATGTTGTCCTGACACTGGAGGTGTTAGTCAAGTATGTTGTCCTGACACTGGAGGTGTTAGTCAAGTATCTTGTCCTGACACTGGAGGTGTTAGTCAAGTATGTTGTCCTGACACTGGAGGTGTTAGTCAAGTATGTTGTCCTGACACTGGAGGTGTTAGTCAAGTATGTTGTCCTGACACTGGAGGTGTTAGTCAAGTATGTTGTCCTGACACTGGAGGTGTTAGTCAAGTATCTTGTCCTGACACTGGAGGTGTTAGTCAAGTATCTTGTCCTGACACTGGAGGTGTTAGTCTAGTATGTTGTCCTGACACTGGAGGTGTTAGTCAAGTATGTTGTCCTGACACTGGAGGTGTTAGTCAAGTATCTTGTCCTGACACTGGAGGTGTTAGTCAAGTATCTTGTCCTGACATTGGAGGTGTTAGTCAAGTATGTTGTCCTGACACTGGAGGTGTTAGTCAAGTATGTTGTCCTGACACTGGAGGTGTTAGTCAAGTATGTTGTCCTGACACTGGAGGTGTTAGTCAAGTATCTTGTCCTGACACTGGAGGTGTTAGTCAAGTATCTTGTCCTGACACTGGAGGTGTTAGTCAAGTATCTTGTCCTGACACTGGAGGTGTTAGTCAAGTATCTTGTCCTGACACTGGAGGTGTTAGTCATGTATCTTGTCCTGACACTGGAGGTGTTAGTCAAGTATCTTGTCCTGACACTGGAGGTGTTAGTCAAGTATGTTGTCCTGACACTGGAGGTGTTAGTCAAGTATCTTGTCCTGACACTGGAGGTGTTAGTTATGTATCTTGTCCTGACACTGGAGGTGTTAGTCAAGTATCTTGTCCTGACACTGGAGGTGTTAGTCAAGTATCTTGTCCTGACACTGGAGGTGTTAGTTATGTATCTTGTCCTGACACTGGAGGTGTTAGTCAAGTATCTTGTCCTGACACTGGAGGTGTTAGTCAAGTATGTTGTCCTGACACTGGAGGTGTTATGCAAGCATCTTGTCCTGACACTGGAGGTGTTAGGCAAGCATCTTGTCATGACAATGCAGGTGTTAGGCAAGCATCTTGTCCTGACACTGGAGGTGTTAGGCAAGTATCTTGTCCTGACAATGCAGGTGTTAGGCAAGCATCTTGTCCTGACAATGCAGGTGTTAGGCAAGCATCTTGTCCTGACACTGGAGGTGTTAGGCAAGCATCTTGTCCTGACAATGCAGGTGTTAGGCAAGCATCTTGTCCTGACAATGCAGGTGTTAGGCAAGCATCTTGTCCTGACAATGCAGGTGTTAGGCAAGTATCTTGTCCTGACAATGCAGGTGTTAGGCAAGCATCTTGTCCTGACAATGCAGGTGTTAGGCAAGCATCTTGTCCTGACACTGGAGGTGTTAGGCAAGCATCTTGTCCTGACAATGCAGGTGTTAGGCAAGCATCTTCTCCTGACAATGCAGGTGTTAGGCAAGCATCTTGTCCTGACAATGCAGGTGTTAGGCAAGCATCTTGTCCTGACAATGCAGGTGTTAGGCAAGTATCTTGTCCTGACAGTGCAAGTGTTAGGCAAGTATCTTGTCCTGACAATGCAGGTGTTAGGCAAGTATCTTGTCCTGAAACTGACTTCCAGTGTCTCAGTTGGTTTTGTACCTGTCTTTTTTCTTGGTAAATTTTAATATTTTTTTTTTATCATATTCTTTGTAACAACTTTTTCTCCTCTTTCAGTTGTTCTCAGTGTTTTTAATATGTTTATTTTTTCCATTTCTTCTTCCCAAATTCTACTTCTTTCCTTCTTTCATCTCTGCTACTTTACCCTCCATCTTTTTTCCTTTTCAATGCTCCCCACCATCTCTCTCTCTTTATTCTTTCCCCTCTTCACCATCCCTTTTGCACCCTTACCACCTTCCTCTCCTTGTCTTCTTCCCTTCTTAATTCCCCTTACCTTTCCTTCCTTTTCACTTGGATCTCCCTTCCCATCATCCCCTTATGTTCCTCTCCCTTTGTGTTTCTCACTTCAACCAACCCTAATTCCTCCTCTTCCACTCACTGCTCTTCCTTCTACTCTGCTTCTTATGTTAACCAACCGGTGTTTGAGGGCTGCTGCTTCCATATCCAGTCAAACGTATAGAACATTTTAAGAATAAGTAAAGCTAAGTAGGTTCACAAAAATGTTAAGATAATAAGCCATGCACAGAATATTTGTGGAGCTGTGGAAATTTTGTGTTAGCCAAGAGTTGTATTGCTTTTAAATGACACATTTAAAAGTCAGTCTTGGTTACCCAGTTGTACAATGAGATGTGTTAATATTTTCTGAATGTACTATTGGTATGAATACTGAGATATTGCCTAATCCCTCAGGGTTTAATATATGTATACTCAGTGGTGCTGAATATTTGTCGTATATCTACCAGTAATTGATAATATTTCAAGAATTGTGGGAATGATGTAGTAGTTACATTTGTCTCTATTTTGTTCTTTCAACACTAGAAGGTTAGTGTCTAAGTTGTAGTGCTACAATGTAAGTTTGATGTGCTCTAATTATTATTTTTGATTATGGTCAGTATGGCAGGCTGTGAAATGTACTGGTAACTTACAATTTTACTTAAGCATTTAGGTAATGTTTGTTACATTTTATAATTAAAATGTTTATGTAGGACTCAGTGTTTTTTTTTTTTTTTTTTAGTAAGTAATTTGCAGCTATACTGATGATTCAGTGCAACAAAGATCTCAGTTTTAATAAAAGATATTTATTTTATTCCTTTTCCTGTATAACTGAACTGCCCTGGAAATTATATGGACAGTATAACATATTTTTTTTGGCTAATACAATCCAAATAAGTCTGAGTGTATAGCATAATTACTGTTGAAAATGTTAGGGATATAGAGAATGAATAGGATTTATTTTTAAATGTGAATCTTAGAGGCTAGGAACTGTTATCTTACCTCAGCTCATTCCAAAGCCCAGCCCAATCTGAGGTATACTACCACCCCCAGGATGCCACCCACACGTGGATTGCAGAGGAACAAGGAAGATTTAGGAAAGGTAGGGAATGTGTGGACCAAATGTTTACAGTGAAGCATATAAGTTAAAAAAAATTAGATAAAAGTAAGAAATTATTTGTCATATGGTGGGGTAGGAGTCGTCCTCGAAAAGGTTGGAGGGAGGGGGTAAAGGAGGTTTTGTGGGCATGGGGCTTGGACTTCCAGCAAGCGTGCGTGAGCGTGTTCAATAGGAGTGAATGGAGACGAATGGTATTTGGGACCTGACGAGCTGTTGGAGTGTAAGCAGGGTAATATTTAGTGAAGGGATTCAGGGAAACCGGTTATTTTATATAGGCAGACTTGAGTCCTGGAAATGGGAAGTACAATGCCTGCACTTTAAAGGAGGGGTTTAGGATATTGGCAATTTGGAGGGATATGTTGTGTATCTTTATACGTATATGCTTCTAAACTGTTGTATTCTGAGCACCTCTGCAAAAACAGTGATTATGTGCAAGTGAGATGAAAGTGTTGAATGATGATGAAAGTATTTTCTTTTTGGGGATTTTCTTTCTTTTTGGGTTGCCCTGCCTCGGTGGGAGACGGCCGACTTGTTGAAAAAAAGAAAAAAAATGGATCTAGGAAAGGCATATGATAGGGTGAATAGAAAAACAATGTTAAGCTACTTAAAGGCAATTAGGTTACTTAACCCTTTCAGGGTCCGTGCCGTAGATCTACGGCTTTACGTTCAGGGTCCAAACCGTAGATCTACACCATGAGCTCAGCTCACTCTGATAAGCTGTGAGTGGTAAATTTGGGCCTAGATATGAGAGAATACATCTATGTGGTATGTGTGCACCACATAAAACAAATTCTGCAGCACACAGTGTATAATGAGAGAAAAAAACTGAGACCATGATTTTCGATTAAAACAGTGACTTTGCAGTGTTTTTTCGTATGTTTTTTATAGTTCTATTTGCGATTTCTTGGTCTCATTTGATAGAATGGAAGACATATTACAGAAATGGAGATGATATTGATTGGTTTTCGCACTGGAAATGGCTTGAAACTGAGCTCAAAGTAGCGGAAATGTTAAATTTTTGCTGATGTTCAAGAGTAAACAAACGACCTCACATGTCTAATACACGCCAGCTGGTGGGTCTGATATATGTTTACAAATGTGTTGATGATATTTATACAATTATTACAATGTTGTATAACAGTAAATCTTTTATTTTTTGGTTTGAATAAAAATTTATTATGTGAATAAAAAATAAAAATGGAATTCATTTGTAAAGCCTCAAAACGTAACTAATGAACAGGGGAAATGTTAGTTTAGTGCCAGGATTACCTATAGTGTTTATTCTGGACCCTATTTTGAAATTGGAATATTTTGAACTTTGTGTTAAATTGGCCAAATTATCAATTTCAGATCACTTTATTTTGTAGTTGACACAGTTGACTGGGCGATTTCTTGTGCTCAATCGATAGAATAGAAGTAATACTAGTGAAATAGCTAAGAATTTGGTCGACTGGAATAATGTAATTGGCCTAAAATGGGAGTCAAAGTCAGCAGAATCGCAGGTTTGTAAATATCGCTGACACATCAAAATTCGCGAGAGCATAATTTCGTCAATTTATCATCAAATTTCGTACTTTTTGTTTTATT